GGACAGCAGTGCCCTCAGCATCCTGCCCCAGCTGTGCCCCTCAGCCCTCATGGGGCAGGACCACCCTCCTCTACCTCCTTCAACCACCTCTGCAGGGACAGAGGGGCTGTGAGACAGTGGTATAGTGAGAGGTGCAGGGCCCTGCAGCCCAAAATCGGGGTGCTGAGGGTGCAATCAGCTTGTTTGGGTGCTCCTTGTGCATTCCACCCAGACAGGGCAATGCAGCCCCACAGCAATGGTGCTGGCGGAGGGGAGATGGAGAAGGTGTCTTAGGGAAGGTGGTGGCTGCAGGAGAGGCAGCCAATGCTTGTCCTTCCATGCACAGAGGAAAAGGGGCTGGTGCAGACAAGACCCACAGCTCCCCAGGGGTGTTTTGCTGGTGGCATCATCACCAACACCCTGCAGACACCCTTGCTGCCCCCGGCAGTGTCCCCCCAGCTCCGAGGAGCCGAGAGCAGAGCTGTGACCACAGAGCAGAGCTCTGACGGATGGGGAGGCTGCTGGCAGGCCCTGCTCGGTGCTGCCAGACATCTCTTCACCCAGGCTTTTCAGAAAGCAGTGCCCCTCTGCTCCTCACAGCCACTTCCCAGGCCCCATCTGTCCCCCAGCGCCAGGCACATGACGCCGGGGCTGGAGGGTGATGCGGCAGAACGTGACTGTCTGGGGGAGGTGGCATCAATCTCCTTGCCATGAACGACACTTTCTCTTCTCTCTCCCTCCCCTCCCCGTGCTAATTAAGCCCTCAGCTTTGTCTGAGTCATTGGCACCACGTCCAGAGCAGGGAGGAGGCTTTGCCAGGGGAGAAGCTCAGCTCGTGGAATCGCTCCGGTTGGGAAAGACCTTTCAGATCACCCAGTCCCACCACAACCTGCCTCTACCAACCACTAGCCTAACTCTAGTGCTTCAGCACCACGTAACCAAGGGGGAGAGAAAGCCACCACGCTGGAGCCTTCCTCTGGTGACCCAGGTGACAAAGGGAAGCTCAGCTGAGGGTCCCCACCCCCCTGATGCTGATTCCAAGGCAACACCAGCACATCCCACTGCAGACACTGGGAGGTTGGGGTGCACAGACCACCTCTTCACCAAGGCCTTTTGTGGACACAGCCACACCTGATGGCACTGGGGACCTGCAGCCAGGAGATCTGAGACTGTGATCCCAATCTCTAGGTGCAGTTCGGTTCCCATCTCCCATGGGGGGCGAGAGGTAAAGAGGATTAAAGAGATTGTAGGGGTTTTTGGAGGTGGCACGTCTGGCACCACCAGCAGCTCCAAGGAGGGGCATTAGTGGGGCAGGGGAAGAGATGCAGAGCCATGGGATGTGGCCATGGACCTCATATACCCCAGGAGACACCACTGGTCACAGCGAGTTCAGGGATGGTCCCAGTCACCCAGGCCAATGCCAGCAGCCCCAGGAACAAACCTGCCCTGAGCAGCCAAAGGAGTCCCCTGGTTGGTGCCAGCTTTGGTGGGAACCCACAGCCCCAGGATTAAATTTCCTAGGGCACATCCTAATGCTCCCTACAAAACCAGGAGCTGATGATGCCCAGCCAGGATGTGGTGGCTCCAGCACATCATCTGGTACCTGTTCAGCCCCTCCAACTGCCTGAATTTGCCCTTTTATTCCCCAAGGAGCTGAAAGAATTGCTCCACTACCTTCGTAGCACCCAGGCTGCAGAGGTCCCAGCTGAGAGGACTTGTTTGGGAAACACAAGGGGGTTTGGGGTTTCACAGGCTCTGAAGCTCCCACAGCCTGTGGTGGAGAGCAGGACCACCAAGCATCCAGCACAGCAAGACATCAGAGGAAAGGACAGCATGTGTGTATACACACACACACACCCCACTGGATGTATTCCCACCCCTCCACTCTCAGAGCTGAAGCACATCTGCCTGAGAAACCCCATGAGCCATCCCATCTCCCCCAAACTCCTGTCAACTCTGCCTTGAAACCTTGCTATCCCCCCTGGAAGGCTCCCCAAGCAGAACCTCTGTTGGCTGCTCTAGTTTTCAGCCTAAATTTATTTGTGGCCATTTTATACATTTCTGTTCTTTTACCAGCATTGGCCTTTGGCTGAAACACTGTCTGACACTCTGATGTGTCTATAGATACCCACCATGACCATCCCCACGTCTTTGCTGGCCAAAGGGAGTTCCCTCCAGCTCTCTCTTGCACGACTGGCTCTCCCTCCCTAATTTATCTAGTAGCTCCTCCCCTGCTCCAGTCCAGGCTCAGGTCCTGAAGGCTCCCACTCCATCCCTAAGTGACGATACCTTTGCCATCCTGCCTGCAAACTTCCCTGCTCCTCCAGGTCACCCCTGGCCACTGTCACCCTGCACTCACTCACTCCTTCTCCACTCTTAAGCAGCAAGACCCGGGCTCCTAGGAGACATCTTCACTGTTCCTCAACAAGCACGTGGCTTCCCACTTCTCCCTGCATCCCACATCTCTTCCTCCAGCCCTCAAACTCCTCCAGCCTGGGGTGGCAGCCTGAATCCCCCCAGCTCCAGGAAGCCAGCTGACGCTGGAAGCAGGAAAGCCTGTGACTCATCCATGAGGAGCTTCACTGGTTGCCACCAGCCACTCTGTCCCCTCACCACCACCCAACCCTGTCCCAGCACTGCTCACTTCCCTGCCCGCCTCGCCGAGCTCTTCTCCTTCCTTCCCCTCTTCTCTGCTTCCTTCACACTTTCCCAGAGCAAGAGCTTTACTACAAAGAGCAGCTCGACACGTTTCCAGGTCCCTGATGCCAGGTTAGCCTGGCGTGACCTACCTTTGGCAAACCCATGATTCATTTCCCTCTTTTGCCTTCCAAATCTGTTCCAAAATGGCATGAGATCCAGGTCAGCCTTGCAGTCCTATTCCTGCCTGCCTTACTTTTCCCCCCCCACACACCCCCCCTCCTCTCCCTGCTTTTAAATATAGGCATCACATTCGCTGCTCTCCAGTCAGATGGTGCCTCCCCCGACTCCATGGAGTTGTTAAAAATACTTGTTATCAGACCTGCCATTTCATGTGCCATGAAACCCCCCCCTCCAAGGGCTGGGCTGGCGGGTGCAACAGTCTTGGTGCTTGGCTTCCACATCAGCTGTGCCCGTGTCCTCCTTCCCATCACCCAGCCCCTTTTGTGGCCTCTGTCTTGGTGTTGACCAAAAAAAAAAAACCACCCATCCGTGCCCAGATCTCCTCAGTTGTCACTTCCCCTCCACCCGTAGAGGTGGGGAACTGCTCTCTGCCCCGTTGAGGACCCTCCATGAGGTCCATGTCAACATGACTCTTGCCACCTCCGAAAGCATCTCCCAACTTCTTCAGTGCCAGGGTGCAGTTGTCTTAGCTGAACAACCCATTTTCACTCTGAGGCATCATTTTTTTTTCCTTAATATCTCCTCAGTTGTCACTTCCCCTCCACCCGTAGAGGTGGGGAACTGCTCTCTGCCCCGTTGAGGACCCTCCATGAGGTCCATGTCAACATGACTCTTGCCACCTCCGAAAGCATCTCCCAACTTCTTCAGTGCCAGGGTGCAGTTGTCTTAGCTGAACAACCCATTTTCACTCTGAGGCATCATTTTTTTTTCCTTAATATCCCTCCACAATTGGTGGTTCGTTGCCTTGGGCTGCTCCCCTTCCCATCACCTTTGGGGAAGGTACCAGGAGGTCATCACGTGCAGAGGTCATGGTAGACACAGGGAATTGAATCCCCAGATAACACAAAATTTGTAACTCCTTCAATGAAGAAATTCCTGGCTCCCTGTACTGGAGACCCATGAGCCCCATGGCTCAGCCTTTGGGAAATGGAGGAGCTTCCTGATGGCTGATCCTTGCTGCTTCTTCTCTTCTTTATAAGACAACCACCTTTTCCTTATGAACACCACCAGCCTGAACCTCCATCACCTGAGCTCTCCTACAGCCACCAGACCAAGAGATGCATTTGTTGCTGCCTCCAGGCACACCTGAGACACCAACACAAGGTTCTTGGTGAAGACTAAGGAGCCACAGCTTCCCCAAGGGACCTACACCCAAGGGTGTTTCTCATGCCAGGGCACCCACAGAGACCCCCACCCATACCCTGGCAGGAGCTGAACCTCTGGATTCACATCTCTGCCACAGACACGACCTGCCCCACTGCTGGCAAAGCCTCCAAGACCACAAATGACACCAGCAAGGTGTGGGAGCAGGACCATCAGGGGGTGATGGAGCCAGCATGGTGGGTCCCCCCCTCTGGCAAAAGACCCCCCCAGCCAGTTCCTGCTTCTCAGCCCCCAGCACGGGATCATTCTTTCAGCAGATCTCATGTTGTGGGTTTGGTTGTGGTGGTTGTTGGTTGGGGTTGGTTGTTTTTTTCCCCCCCAAAGAGCGGGAAAAGGCACAGGGAGCTGCAAAAGAAGGTCTCACTCAGGGGGGCAGAAATCTAAAGAAATCTAAATATATACCCGAGTGGAATGCAAAGCACAAGCTCCCAGCCCACACGAACCCTCCCTCGGGCTCTGCTCACATGGGAAACTTTAGGAATTCTTTGCTATAGGGGAACAAGTTTAAAAAATAATAAAACAAAAACAAAAATTCAGTCTCTGCCACC